TGTGTGTGTGTGTGTGTGTGTGTGTGTGTTTGTGTGTCTGCCCGCTCGCCTTTTTCCCTTGCTTCCTTCTCCATCGCCTCCCTTCCACCTGTCCGATTTCTTTCAACTTGTGCCCTTCATCCCCCCCTTTTCCTGATCTTCCGCCCGGCGATCCGCTATTCCCCCCTCCCTCTTCTCTCTTTGTCCTGCGTCTCTCGCCTCTCTCTTCCCCTCTTTCGCCACACCTTTCTCTCTTCCTTCGATGGGATCCTCTTCGCGCTCTAACTCCTCCAGTAACTCGATGTCGCCCTTGTTTTTTTTTCCCTCCATTTCTCGATTTATGCGTGTCATCCTTGCGCAGAGCCCATTTGCTAATCTTCTTTCTGCGTATCGTTCCAATTTTAACGGATGTCACGAAGGACAATGTGGCCCTTGCGGCTCTCTCCTTATGTTCTTCCCTCTTGTCCTCTCTCTCTTTCTGTGCTCTTTCTCTCTTCATTACCATCACTTCATCACCTGCATATCCACATTCTTCATTGCCATCACTTCATCATCTGCATATTCACATTCTTCATTGCCATCACTTCATCATCTACATATCCACATTCTTCATTGCCATCACTTCATCATTTGCATATCCACATTTACCCTATCCTCCCCGCGATTCCGAAAGCCATCAAATGTCGAGAGAAACGGATGGGAAAGAAACCTAGAGGAGGACAAAGTAGAAAAACGAGACGAAGACGGGAGATCAATAACACACATATTCAAGTTTCCACGCCTCATTCCAAAAAGCAAACCCAGAAAAAAAAAAAAAGAAGTTCCACGCCTGATTCCGGACGTCATAAAGTAATCATGAGAAGATGCACGGGCGCGAAACCCGAAGCTCCCTCACGTGTTGTTGTAAGTCGTCAAACTTACCGGCGTGATTGATGACGTGGCACGGGCCTGGCGCGTGATTGATAACGTGGCAAGGGCCTGGCGCGTGATTGCTGACGTGGCAAGGCCTGCACGATTTCACCGTCGCTATCTGTCAGAGGTGAGGGACTGGACGTATTCCCCTCCCCCGTGTATACCCCTCCCCCGTGTTTCAGCGGCGGGAGAATGGCTGACCATCATCAAGGGTAGTTTGGATGTGACCGCGGCGGTAGCCAGGCGGGAGAAATGCGCCGGCGTTCTCAGGGAGGGGCCCCACAGGCTGGCGGACTGCAACGCAGCAGTCTCCCTTGTCCCACTACCGGGTAGCAGCGTTCAGTTTCCTGAACGCCCGAACCCGGACGTGATTTTGGGATATGTGCAGTTGAGAGACTCAACGTGATTTCTGCACGTCTCCGAAACCACGTCCAGATTCGGGAATTGAGGAACCTCAACGCTGCAAGTGGGACGACGCCCCTGGCCGTAACCCGCGGAGGGAGGCCACAGCGAACGTAGAGCAGTGAGAGGCCTACACGCTTTCCCTAAAGGTAAGTCGACCCAGACGTTTCCTGAAAAGGAAAGCACTTCTCATGGTGGTGTGTGTTCCTGGGTCCAGCTGTATTGGGGAAACGCCCCATACGACTGCACCAGCATGCGGCGGGGGGTGACGGTGGCAAGGGGTGTTCCACGCCGCCAACCGGTGCTCCAAGCTTAGCCTTAGACCAAAAAATCCTCCCTCATAAATAGAATAAGAGATTAAACCCTTCAGCCAGACAAACACTTAGAAATAAAACACAGCAACCAGGTCATTGAGCTTAGAAACAATGCCTGGTCCTTCAAAAAACAGCCAAATAAACATAGCCCTGGGCCATTCAGCTTAGAAACAATGCCCAGTCCATGGTTGACCCGGTCAAATGTATGCAAATTGCCTTCCTCCCACCTTCCCCCAGTTCATCCCTCAGTCTGCTTTCAGTCAAAATAAAAAGAAACTTAAACTTTCCACACATATTCCTTTTATTCAGTCTTATTAGATCTTGGAAAGAAAGTGAAAGTTATCGAGGAACACTAGTGTACAATAGTCACAACTAAAGGGAGATAGTCAAATATGGGTATAGTGGGTTCATACTGATAGAAGAAAATATATATGTTGGTTCCCTGCCTCCAAAACTCCTCCTGAGTTCCGACAAAGCTCCCGCAATCGGTGGGTGGACTCCCCACAACGCCTTGCTGCGGCCCTACGGGTTGCAATCCCGCCTACCGCTTACCGCCTTCCTCTCAGAACGAGATTAGACTTAGAGTAAGAAAGGCAAGAATAGGGGCTTCATACGCTCAAGATACAAGAGAGGGACAAGTCAACTCTCAGGAGAGGGCCTTATTATCTTCCATCGCCTGAGGGTCCCGCAATGATGGTCAAAAGGCGTATCAATTTTGACAACTGAAGTCAAACTTCAACTGTATTCTTCAGTGGATCCCCAAGCTACAACAATACCCCCTCCTCTACAGTCGCAGTTACTTTCGCATCGCTCACTGCTTCAAGCTTCACAAGTTCGCATCACCCCTCCAACTACTTCCTACGGTAGAGTGAACAATGTATCAGCCAATAGGTAGCCCTATTACTCATGTAGCTCACCCTCTCTGCTAATCTGCAATCACCCCACTATTACATATGTCTGTCTAATGCGGTTGTTCTGTTGCTGCTTCATTCAACAGAGAGAGCGAGCGTTTCTGGCCAATCAGACATTCTCCAAGCCTGCAATTCTTTTGCACCTCTTTCGTTTTAGAAGGTTGCACAACATTTCAGTCAGTAGCTAAAACTGCAACTTCACAGTCGTCCCCTCATCGAGCGCAGACTGACAGAAATGAGCATGCATCGGTCTACAAATAAAACTTCTCCCTCACTGCGCGCATGCAGCTAGACCGTTCAGTCGGTCATCAATAAAACCTACAGGCCCACACTTAGTCTTCCGTTATTCTGCTCACGCTCCTGCCTATAGGTAAAACGCGCCTTGAAGCTCTATTTTTTCATTGGCCTTGCCAATAACACATGAAAAAGCGGAAGAGACTCTGTTATAGATGGCAATAGTCCATTCCTCTCTACCCGTTACCTCTCGCAAAGAGGTAGAGTGGCACTACCCCTTCAGCACTCGGAAATAACCGCTGGCCAACAGGTAAGTCATCAATCTCCTGTAGTCACACTCCTCTCGGCGAATCCAACGGGCAGGATCAGATTGGTCGTCCAGTTATAACACAGATACTCACACCGTTTTTCATCCTGGCGCACAGCAAAATAGAAATGAATCTTCAGTGGGGACACGAAAGTATACAGTGGCCAGTTTTCGCCACCGTCCTCTACTTCACGCAGATGGGTGATTCGGCACCGTCTCTCCTTCCCTCTCTCTCTCTTTTTTTTTTTTTTTTTTT